GCTCCTCTCTCTCCGCGGGGGCAGCACTCTAGAGATGAGACCCGGCGCGCTCCCGATCGGAGCACTCTCCGTCCGCCCCAAGCGCCCCCGTCTGTAGCCCCCCTGGCGTGCCGCTCGCACCGTCCGCTTGCCCCCTGCTCCATCCCCGGCCGAACAACATAAAACACTTGCAACATGAAAAAAAACATTTGAATGCAACATACGTCTGAAAAACAAATGAAATATTTAGAACATATACTTGCAACATATGTGTGGAACACATGAAACATCCAAAATATAACACTTGCAACTTGCAACATGAAAGCATTTGTTGCAACATAAGACTGAAACAGCTGAAACATTTTGCAACATTCTGTTGCAACATATGTGTGAAACAGATGAAACATCAAATAAAAAACAATTGCAACAGAGTTCGGAAACAGATGGAACATTTTGAACAAACGCTTGCAACAACATGCATATGAAACACTTGCAACATATGCAACATGTGCAACACCCGCGATCTACTTTTGCAACATCAAAATGGAACAATTGCAACATACATTTGAAATGTCTGAAACAATTGAAACATACATATGCAACATAGGGGAGGGGAAGGCCGGGGCTGGTTAATTCAGCCGCTGGAGTCAGCACCAAGCTTGGTTCAGTCGGGCGGGCGCACCACCACCAGTGGTGCGTGCGCACCACCACCACCAGTGCTCGCCTTGTCTTGGTCGGGTGGGCGGCGCACGCGACTGGCAGAGCAAGGACCACCTGCACTAGCGCGCGTGACAGGAGGGGCGAGAAGCGCTCACCTACGATACGTATCGGATACGTGGATACGCTACTCTCAAAAAACAGTGACACGGGGATACGTCTAGGATTTTTTAACAACAACAACAACAACAACAACAACAACAATAATAATAATAATAATAATAATAATAATACATGATTTAATATAAAATAACATAGTTCACAACTTAAATGGTCACGTCCACAACTTAAATGGCTTTTTTTTATCCTAGAGTAACTTTCCTTGTACTCAAGATAGTAGTACTTGCATCGCCATTTAGCATTGCCTCCTGCAACAGCCTTCTCTATCAGCCTGTTCGTTTGCTCGTAAACGATCGTAAATTTTCAGCCGGGATGAGTGTTTTTCTCTCACATCAAACCAGCCAGCAGTAAATAATCCACGATACGATACGGCCTTCCAAACAGGCTGTATAAACACAACATGTTTCCACAATGAATTCTTCTTCTTTTGCTGGGCATCAACTTTGCACGTTCATCACACGGCGCCATCTACTCGTACTAAGCTACTAACGTCTAACAAATAAAGATGAACAAAATTTCAGATCGAAGCACATCACATGATAAACAAAACTACAAGGATGGTTGGAGTAGGGGCGCAAGGATGCAGCTTACCAAATGTAGGGACTAGGGAGCCTGGAGTTGGGAGGGCCAGAGGGGGCGCCACCTGACTTGTCGCCGCCCGCCGCTTGCTGCGACGCTGCCCTGCCACCGGTCGATTCGATGGTGGCGCAGGGCTGCAGGGGGTTGGGATTTCGGAGAGGACGTCTTCTCGCTCGCCGCCGGCTGCTTGCATAAATAAGTAGAAAAATATATACATGGCTCGCCGCCGGCTGCTTGCATAAATAAGTAGAAAAATATAAACATAAATAATAGAAAATATGTGGCTAAAGTTATATTTTAAGCCCTGCCCACCGTCGCTTATGCCATCACCGTCACGGATGACAAATGTTGCTTGTTTGATTCCCCTTCGGAGGGTGACTGGTGCTGCATGTGCTTGTGTATCTTGAACAATGTTTAGGTTCGCTATGTGCGGAGGGTGCATTTAAAATTATTTTCGAGTAGCAGGAATCTTGGGAATTCAAAATTATAACCTCAAGTCTCACATAACATGAGCCATTTCTGTTATTATAAGCCCATAAAACAGTCGAATGATGACAACGGAAGAAGGTGAGAACCCGCAAAAGATTGCGTCGATCGGCAACAGGTCGCGAGCCAATAAAAGCTGCAGCCTCCATGCACCACACACCACACGGTTCAAGTCTGCTGACTTTCCAACCCCAGCCACCACTGATGTCACGCACTCTCCTTGTCTCATAAAGAGTATCATTCCCGCTTCCCAAGTCAAATATATATGTGCCCTGCAATGTTGTTGTCATTCCCAAGCTAAGCGTACTGCACCTAGACAGCAGATCAAGAGCGAACGTATCCATGGCATCTTGCAATGCGAATGTTCCAGAGATGGCAGCTGGTTTTCATCCGACTGTATGGGGTGACTTCTTCATCAACTACATACCACAGCCATCACAGGCATGCCTATATTACAGCTAGCAGAGTAGCAGTGATGCAAAATATTGTTGCTTCTTTCTTTATGTTTCTTCCAATTTATGTTTTTTTAGGATTTGTTTGAACATGGCATTTTCATGTCTGAACAATGAGCATGATGACCTGTAAATACCTAAACATTGCAGCATTTCCACGGACCACGGGTTCCTTTTCCATTGTTTCTTAGCTTTTCGCAACATGCAACCACATGCATGCTTACATAAGTTTCCTTACTGCTTATAGGATCCCCACAATAATGGTATTTCTCTATGAATGTAGAAGTCGGAGGAATGGACAACAGAGAGGGTGAACCAACTAAAAGAGAAAATAAGTGGGCTATTTGAAGCTTGCACAACTACAGTTGAGCAACTCAACTTAGTGGACACGCTCCAACATCTAAGTATAGACCATCATTTCAACAACCAGATTAACTCCGTTTTGACTAGCATCCATGGTGCCGAATTCAACAGCGCTTGTCTCCATGATGTTGCCCTTCGATTGCGCCTACTGAGGCAGCAAGGGTTTTGGGTATCTCCAGGTATACAAAATGAAAAGGCAACGCTCTCCTTGATATATAGCCATGTAGACTTTTGTATACATGCTTCCTGTTTTTCTGCCAAATGATTCTCAATCTTTGGCAATTTTATTAGACAGAGACAACGTGTGCCTGCTTATAGTTCTGAAACACATAGCAATTCATAGCACAGAAATTTTGTGTGCACAACAATAAAATATACATGCAGAGATAGGATCACCCAATGCTAATAAGCTCATACGTACGCTGCATTACTTACATATATATAATATGATTGTTCGATCTTGCAGATGAATTTAACAGGTTCAAAGACGGAAATGGGAACTTTGATGTTGGCATAACAAATGATGCAAGGGGACTACTAAGTTTATACAATGCAGCTTACCTTTTCACTCATGGAGAGGCAGAACTTGAGGAGGCTATTTTATTTGCCAGGCAACATCTTGAATCGATGAGAAATAACCTTGAATACCCGTTAGCTCAGCAAGTGAACCGAGCCCTTCACCTACCGCTGCCACGGACCTTCAGAAGAGTTGAGGCTCTGCATTATATCTCAGAGTACAAAGGAAGTCCAACACATATCCCCTCCCTTCTGGAGTTTGCACAGCTGGATTTTGACCTTTTGCAACGTCTCCACTTGAAGGAGCTCAAGGCTCTTTCTAGGTATAATCAGTATCTGGCTATCCGCATCATGAAAAGACATGAGAAGTCTTAACGATATATTTTGGGTCTTAACAATAATCTCCTCAACCTTAATTTGTCTACTGAAACCTCTAAGTAGTGTCAAACTTCAAACATAACTAGGCTTGGCTTCTCAAACCATCAAAAGTGTATGCACGGTAGGTATTAGTTTCAAACTGTGTCCTAGTGGACATCCATAATGATGTATTAATCTTCCAAATTAAAACCTTGCTTGTAGGGTATAAATTTGATATAGCTGTCCTAAGCATAATTGGAAAGAGATTATAGTATGCATAAACTACTTGAATAAGCATCATTATATAATTGTATGAGATTACCTCCCAAAAAGAAGTTACGACCTTATAGCTTAAGATACCTACAATCTAGCACTTCTAAACTCTAATGATGTTTAGTTTTATCTGCTAAACCAGAAAACGGCAGATGGTTTTGCAGAAGAATCTTTATATTTTCATCTAAAATTTGAAATAATATTTTGAATTTTTGAAACAATTTTTTTCATAAAACAAACCTCCTGTTCTTTAATTTATTCGTAACACAGTTAACAACCTAAGTTAATCTCAGATGGTGGAAAGATCTTTACAATGAAGGGGAACCTACTCACGGGATCGTGTGGTTGAGTGCTACCTGTGGTCTTATACAGCATACTTTGAGAAAGAACACACAAGGGCAAGGATGATCCTTGCCAAGATAATCGCACTAATAATCCTGACAGACGACACTTACGATGTTCGTGCTACTTTGGAGGAGTGTCGAAAATTCAATGAAGCTATACAAAGGTTGGAGTGCCCCAATTTAATCTTACTAATTTGATCTAGGAAATCTTTAGTTCATATAGTATTTGCACTCAAAGCTGTAACCAGATAACTTTCCTACAGATGGGAAGAGAGTGCCATTTCTCTTCTACCAGATTATCTGAAGAAGTTCTACCTCAGGCTGATGAACATCTTTAAGGAGTTTGAGGACGAGTTGGAACCACATGAGAAGTACAGAGTCTCTTTTAGCAGAAAAGCGGTACAAGCACAACCCCCCTTTTTTTGGAAAATCTTATTTTCCTCATAACATGAGTGAGCTTGGTCTTTGAAGTTTTGGTGATAAATCTTGTCTGAATTATTTGAAGTTTTTGCAAATGGTTATATCTGAGCCAAGAGAATTATATACTAGATATGTATGATGTATGAATCCTCCTATGTTTAATTATAGAACTATATATTTCAAGATGAGGTGCTGATTAGGATAAGAAACTCACTACCGATATTTATGTGCTACCAGTTAATTATTTCTGTTATGCATATATATGAAATCCACTCTTATATAGGCAATATTGTAATGGTACACCTATCATATATATATATCTGCATTCATACAGTGACCTCATATGTTAATTATCAAGCTGATGACCTTATACTTTTATATTTTTCATCTCCAGTTTCAAATATTATCAAGTAATTATCTCCAAGAAGCGGAATGGTTTCATGGTGGTTACAAGCCAACATTTAAAGATCAAGTGAAGATATCTACTGTGTGCTCAGGTGCTCCATTTGCATCTGTTGGGTTACTAGTTGGCATGGGAGACGATGTAGCAACCAAGGAGGCACTTGAGTGGGCAATCGGTTGCACAGATGCTGTCAAGGCTTTCGCAGAGGTGACACGATTCATGAATGACCTTGCTTCGTTTAAGGTAAGATTAATTATAGTACATGTATATTCCCAATCAAGGTTAAAGATCATAAGTGTTACCTAGTAATGGATGTGTTTTCCACAGCGTGGAAAGAACAAAAATGACGTGGACAGCTCGGTCGAATGCTACGTCAGTGAGCATGGTGTTACAACTGAGGTTGCCTTTGCAAAGATAAATTCCCTGATTGAAGATGCATGGAAGACTATAAACAGAGCACGCTTTGAGAACAATGAGCTACTTCCAGCAGTGCAACGAGTTGCCAACATAACTGCCAGCATGCCGTTAATGTACGGTGATAACAAGGACGCATTCACATTCAGCGACGGTCTCAAGGGGATTATCAAGCGCCTGTTTCTCAAGCCTATCCTGCTCTAGACAATATAGCCTACTGCCTATGTTATGAATGTACTAGTAAGCACCAGAATAAGCAGTTTACGTTATGAATGTCACACTAAAATTATTACTATTAGCAGGTTCGAGTCATTTCAATCTTGTTCTAAGTTTTTGGGGCTCTCTGAAAGGAAAAGGCATGTGTAAACGTTTTTATTTTAATAAAAAGTTTCTTTTGGTATCCTTGTCCAGTTATATGGTGCCAATTTTTTTTATACCGGGGACCCTATAGAAAAACCCTCTTTGATGGTTCTTGTTTATTTCTCTGCATCCATCTAGAGAGCATCTTCAACGGTTTTTCGTAAGCCCACACTCTAAATTCTCAGTTTGAGAGTCATTTTAATAGAAGTAGCACTTTATATCTCTTCACCGCCCTACTTCTCTATATCTTATTCGACACTTTGAAAAGTTAGCCCTGTTCTCTATATTTGGCGAGCAAGAAACTAGAAATAAATTGTGACAATATTTAAAGATCTAACTGAACGATGTCGGAGAAGATTTTCTTTTTTACCAAAATCTCTGTTCTTATCAATGATGAAAGATATAAAGAAACTCTTAAAGTTGCTCTACTATACCTGAGTTATACATGAAGGCGCCGTATAGCCGGGATAGCGCCATATCTCGAGTTGTAGTTGTAATCTAGAATAAGTCGCAACAACAACCTCCTAGGATTTCTCAACCTTGTAAAGCCATAGTGGATTGCTATTGTTACCTATATCCTCTGATTTCTCACAAAACTAGGGAGACAATAAACACTTTCCCATTAGATCGCGACTTGAGGTAGCCAGAGATGGCTTATCTTTTTTAAATAGATTGACAGGTATAGTGAATACCAAATAGTAAAACAAAGTGGATTGTTCGGAGTAGTAAAACACACCTTTTATTTTTCTAATTCCATAGTCCTCCAGCACCTTCTCACTACAACAAAAAATTCTATTCGTGTCCGAGAACGACATCCTGAACAAGCCATTCTCAACTTCTAATTTGTGTCAATTTTGGTTGTCAACATAAAGCATTTTGCTTAACAAGCCATAAAACGAGTTTCATCTTTAGTCTGAATATCACGAGGTGTGCTGAAAGAGTAGTTCCCTAATAATCAGAGTCTAGTCATCGTTAGTCTGAATATCATGTGATCTCAGATGCTTATACTTCTGATCTGCATTTGACAATCTTGCCGCCTCTGTCAAACCCTTGGTGGCCACCATCTTCAGAATATCGACACCCTCTCTTATGGCTGAATCAATCTAGGTTGTAGCAAAACATGCAATCATGATAAGCTTTGGTTGTTGGTACATCAAATAAAGATAATATAACTTGTCCCAGTATGGGACTTAAATGGTGGTCCATCAATATTGTTGCGATACAATGATAATAAATTCTGATCTCATGTTTGTGACAATTGCATTAGTAGAATGAGTCCATGATCATCACTTGTAAAAGCTCAGCAGTATGACTGAGGCTTTTTTTATTATTATTTCCCAACCTTCCATGCTTGGCAAGCTGCGTCCATCTTCAACTAAATCTTTCCATGACATGGTAGCATTAACTTGGACAGAAAGGAAACTCAAGGCCCACAGTTTTCAAGAGGTTGGCTCAGATTTAGCTCAAGCCCAACTCTCTAAATGCCAATCTCAACCTTTGATTTTAACTTTGACACCAAATTCAACCTGACTACAAGGCTAAATCGATCTTCTCAACACAAAATCAAACAAGCATCACCATATTCCATATACTGTGGTTGCTTCCTTTGAAACTATTCAGGAATGTGCAACCAGACTGCTGGTAAGAAACAGCACCCACCAAATTAAAAAGTTTTCCAGTATCAATCCTCCTATCGCAGAAAGCATTGTGAAAGTTACCCAAGGTTTTGGTGAAGTTTATACCAAAACTAAAGCTTGCAGCATGCTTACATATACATACAAGTTTGCTGGAATAGTGGAATCAATATTGTATGGTCATATCTGTCAGAGAAATTTCGAAATTTTCTATTACTGGGTCCAGATAAAAGATTAACAATACAACTAATGTGGTAATGTGAATCTTACCTAGCTCATTAATAGCTACAGCAGAGTTCAGATAATATTAAAACAAATACCATAACATGAAACAATAACAACAGAAGCACAAATTACTAGTGAGATGTTTACCCGTTCACGACCAGTCCTATTGAACTTCTGAAGAACAAAGGCTTTAGGATCCATCTGGCCAGGTGGCCGTCCAATTCCTAAATAAGTCAAGATGAATTCTTGTCCAGCAAAATTAAACAAATTCTAAATGGCGAGTGTAGAAAGTACCAATCCTTAATCGGCAAAATTCTCGATTCTTACGAAAGTGGTATATAACACTCTTCAACCTGGTAAACTAAAAGGGTAAATGTTTATTGTCAAGATCAGATAAATCTTTTATCTGTCAACATCCAATAGATATCATATAGCTAATGGTTTATTTTCATACCAACCAAAGAAAATTTGACACAAGGTAATGTGCTGTTACACAGATTAAGAGTGTTATAAAGTAATGGATAGCCTTTTCAGATAACTAATTAGATGCCCCCCAAGTTATGCAAAATGGAAAGTGCAAGCAAGAAAAACAAACTAAAAGAAACATAAAAAAATGAAAGGAAAAAGGAGAGCAAGACAGATGTGTGAACACCACACTGATAGAAAAAAAAAGGGAAATAGCTACAGAACTTCAAAAAGATTCTTTTAGTGTCTCCTAAAGGCATGCCAACAACCCAGATTAGGGGACTAAGACAATGGCCAAGTTTGTGATGATAAAGTGATTACCATTGCTGGTATATGCATTTAAACATAGAGATAGATGTTTTTCCTTTCGAAATATAAACTTCTTTTGTTAGGTGGAAGATGATCCCACAAAACAAACAAAAATAAAGCCTACATACCCATTATGCCGTCCAAAACCTCCTTTTGGCTGTAAACGGAGAACTCCACATGGCAAGTCCATATCATCAAACGCCTGAAACTCACATACCAGAGAAGTCATATTGCCTTGTAACATGGCTCTAGCAAAGTTTAGAAACAAACACCTACCACTAGGACACGATTAAGTGGCAGTTTATAATAGGCAGCAAGTGGACCAACCTGCAAGTGAAAACAGAGACTGGTCACTAGTAGTCATCAAACAAGAATTGTGTAAACAATTTTGTATGTCCAGTTAAAGACAGTAAGACATACATAATAAAAAAACCATAATGCATCAAGATTACTATCATTAAACAGAATTAGCATGGTTAAGTTTACATGTTGTGCAATGGTACCTCAAATTCAAGAGGTAGCAGGTGAAACATCTGTTAGTATTTAGTTGCATCAACCAAATTAAAGCCCATATCACAGAAAATCAGTGAAAGAAACAAAGTATGCAAGAATAGAACAGTATTAGGCAGGAGAAGTAGGAAACACGCCCAGAAGTGTCGCTTACAGATTCTCCACTGAGATTCATATAAGTCTGGGGCTTGGCAAGAAGAACAGGGACTCCATCAACCATCCCTGAATCAATGGTGAGGACAACACATTAATTTAACCCTTTGTGCTAAGAAACAAAAACATGCATCACAAAATATGAGGAGTGATATTCTTTCTCAGGGTGCGTAAATGGCGCCAAACCTTCACCAAAGAGTGCTTTGAAGTAATGTGTAGTCAGGGGTATACCCTGGGATTGCGCAAATGCATCTATCATATCAAAACCCACCTGTGAGCAAACAAATTGCAAGAAAAATACAAGAATAAATACCAAGACATTGAGAAATTTTGAAATACAAGATGAGATGTGCAACTTACGTTATGCCCGGTGGATTGATACTTCTCACCGTGGTTGCCAAGACCGACAAATAACTGAGTGGTTGTATCGGGGACAAGGACGAGGAAAAAGATGAATATGATGAGGATGTCTGCGAATGGTAGAAGTACAACATTTTGAAAGGAAGGGCATGAATCTATTCAGGGCATCTCCTTCATGGTTTATTCAATCGAGCCATCCAGAAATCTAATGAGTCCAAAATCGATGTCAATGTCTGCAAAGTAAGACTGATTTGTTCTTGAAATACACCACAGTGAACCAGACAGGAACATAAAAATATGAATTGAACACCTAGCACATCCAACATTGCCTTATACTTATACATGCCAGAACAAGATCGACTTAAAACTTGCAGTGCTGCAGAACATCAGAGATTCAAAACTGAATGTTGTTAGTTGATCTCCGCCAATAGGCCCTGGGCCCTTGGATCTGCGCCCTGATCGGGGGCGCCCAACCCTAATATTGTTGGTGGGCCCCTGTCGTACAGCACTATAAAGAGAGGTGGGGATCAGGGCTCTAACTACGAGCTTGACCTAAGCCGCCGTAACCACCTACAGAGAAACACTAATCCGATCTAAAGAAGGATGCTGCCAGCGACGGGAAGCCCCACCGACTTCGCCGTCGCCTCCGCTGAAGCGACCCCGATTTCCACGAAGGGAAATCCACAGTGTCGAAGTGTAATAAGACCGTTGTATATCATATTACCCAAATTCCAGTCGAATATCACATCCATACAACGATAATATCAGAGTACAAATAGTGCGGAATTATATAAATTTATTACATCACCGCATTGGCGGAATCAAAAGTAGCATTTATTCAGAACAGCTTGAAGATAAAATCGCCAAACTCGAGCGTAGGAACGAACCCCTCAACCGTTAAACTCCTCAGAGCTATACTCCTCAGCAGAACCTGTGTGCCAAAATTTATCAGTACGATTTGTACTGGCCACTCCCACCCTATGAGCATTGCTTTGTGGAAATTGGATGCATGTTGGATATATTCAAAAGGAACCTATAAGGCTGGGGTTTCCTATGTATTAGCATTTCAAGTATATATTAACAGTTGGTCAAGTTTTAACACCATTTCCACACCCATTCCACCCCATTCCCATTCTAGAGCCAGGTTTCGATCCTAGGATTGATATACCACCATCTCCATACCACACCCATACCATCGCTCAGTCGGCAGGCCAACTCCCTCTCAGCACTGTCTCAAGGCCCGTAGCCCCTGGCTACGTCCGAGCACTCACTCCCAGGGGGAGAAAAAAAGACTCATCTCACTATCTAGTTTAAGCGAAACCTAGGAAAGGTCCATAGCCGACAAGTTGGCATATGTATCGATCGATCAACCATACACTCTGCAGAGGTTTTACATAACCACAAGATCCGCCTTCCTCGCTGACCGTCGTCAACTGGGCTGATTCCGGCCGCTTGCTAGCCTAGGATAATGCCACTCTACCATTCAGCCCTGGTACACCCCAAGTCCAGTCTGGGGTGGCTGAAACTGTGAGTCATGAGCCGAGTCCACAAGGTCTCCATGAAGTCTCGAAAGGGTGTGGGGGAAATCCTCCGCGCCCCGTACCTCCTTACACTGTCCGCTATCAACCTAGCAGAAGTGGCAATATCCTATCAAGTAGTTCGGCCGTCCCGCACCATATAGGGCGAGTGATACGTAAGACTTCCCGGTGAATCTGAGTACTAGTAAGTCCTTAGGAATGACCAAGCCAGAATGTCTTCATCAGGGTTTCCATTTACTGTGCCACCACAGCACCTCCACCCTGGGCTCCTCCTATCACAGGTTCACACCTAGGGTCACCTCATATACCATTTACCCACCATAGGTATCCATTCCAGGGGTGCCCAGGTAGCACCCCACGGCAAGACTTGCCCCAGGCTCGTCGTATACTCTAACTTGGTCGACACAACCCTCACCCTCCACACACCCAAGTCACACACGCAGCACTCTCCCCATAGTCCAGATAACACAAGTTTTCCACCACGCACCAATGTAGTGCAAGCGTAGTAGAAGTAATAAGCAATTAAATATAGTAGCAAGCGTGTGACTAGCCTAACAGCTGGATGAGCAGGGGCAAGGTTGCGTCAAGGCAAAGGCCATCAAGAAAGCAAACTACCATGCAAGTCCTATCATAGTGTGATTATAACGATGAAGTAAAGCACTAGCATTTTTATTTTAGCCATGCGTAATAGGTGCTACGAGATTGGGTGGGATGTGGCACCTTCAGTGTAGTCGTCTCCGTACTCCTCACGGTACTCACGATCCTCGTCCGTTCGGTTCTCCTTCGAGTCTGCAAACGATCGCATTATAGTCGCGTTAGCGACGTCTATAGAATGGTACAAAGAAGCAATAAAGATTCAATAGAGCCAAATACTCTCAAACATGGGTTCATTGCGTAGAGCTTGATTTTAGATGAATTTTGGTCCTGGTTTCGTATTTTTCTGAGGTCATATGAATTAGTTATGAATTTCCGAAGATTAAATCCATTTCTGAAAATAAAAAAAGGCTGAATTAATCCTGGGCTGACACGTGTCATGCTGTGGTTGGTCCACGTGGTTTGCTGATGTCAGCATGACATCATCGTCTCGGTTCCGAGCTTACAGGTGGGGTCCAGCTGACGTCAGCATGACGTCATCAACGTCATTAGTTCCGACAGGTGGGGCCAGAGGCTATTGGGTCACTAACAGGTGGGTCCGGTCAAAGTCAACGTTAGTCAACGGTGGGTCAACGGTCAATGGTCATCGGTCAGGGTCACTGACATGTGGGGCCTGGGCTACTGACGTCAGCAACTGATGTCACCGTGACGTCAGCATGACGTCACCCCGGCTGCGTTGGCTTCTGACGTGTGGGTCCCGCGTGACGTCATCATGACGTCAGCATCTGACGTGTGGGTCCAGAGTGTCTGTGCCACTGACATGTGGGGCCAGGTCAATGTTGACCGGTCAACGGTCAATACGGGCCGGGTTCAAACTGGGCCTGGGCTGGATTGCGCCGGTCTAGGCCGAGCTGACCCGGACACATGGCGTGCTGTGGCGCTGCCACGTGGCACAGTTGGGCTCTTACTGGGCTTTGTTTCTTGGCTGTGGGCGTGAGCGCGGCTCACGGTGGACCCAAGTTCACGGTCCATGGACCTAAGGCAGGGTCCATGGTGGACCGAGTCCATCGTCATTTCCCCTCAGCTCGGCTCATGTGCACCGGGTGCAGGGCTATGCTGCTCAACTCACCCCTTCTCCTCTATTTCTTCCACGGCGCGCTCCCGCCGGCGACGTGCTCACCGGCGAGCTCCCGCAACAGCTTAGACATCCAATTGAGGTGGGGAAAAGCTTCCCCGTGCCATGGCGACTGCAACGGTGGGGTCAGGGCGACAAATGGTGCTTCCTAAGTCACTGGTCACGGCGAACGGTGGCTCAAGCACAACCAGCGTGCGGGAATGGCGCGGGTGCAGCGGCATTGGCCGGTTCTGTGGTGCGCGTGGGCGTCACAATGCTCCAGCGGGCATGTTGGGCAGGTCGAGGGGTCCTCCAGGGCCTCCGGTGGCTTTGGCCACGGCGGCGGCCTTCCGATCACGTCGGCGGCATCGGTGTGGGGGCTATGGCCTCAGAGGGGCGTCACAGTGGTGTGTGTAGGCTCCTACGGATCCGTGTGGACACGGCGAGGGCATCCAGAGCTCAAGGCGGGACTTCCGGTTTCTAGGTGGCCGGTAGGGACTTCCCGGCGGCCACGGCGACATGGTGACGATGGTGAGGCGCACGGGTCACTACGGGGCTCCAGCGGGGTGGTCACGGCGTGCACGTGAGTTACCCGTGGCTTCAGTGAACAGGACGGGCGAGTCAAGGAGACACCAGGCGCCCCTAGTGGACTTGGCCACGGTGGAGTCGATGCGGTGGCGGCGGTGCTCCGACCGTGGCACAGTGTGGCCTCCGGGGTCCTCCAGTGACCTATGTCTTCACTGATCGTGAGCGGGGCGTCTTCCGCGGCGAGAAGGAGCCAGCCAAGGCGGTGGCGTCACATCTACTGCGGTGATGCGGCCGTGGTGGCTTCGCCACGGCCGTGCGCGTGTCTACGGTGTGCGCCCGTGCGTGCTCGTGTCCATGGGGCTTAGGAGGGGTCTCAGCGGCATACGGCTCACCGTCGGTGTTGAGGGCGAGAGGATAGCGGTGCAGTGAAGAGTCGAGGCCGTGTAGCTCCGGAAGCCGTGCCGTGTAGTGTCGCCCGCTCCGGCTCCGGTGATCTCCCGGTCTTCCTCCCGGCAGCGGCTCCGCCCTCTTTGTTCTTCTCCCCTCGGCCCTCGTGTTGGGTGGTCTGGTGGATGGCCACAAGTGGTGGCGGGGCGATGGAGGGGCGCTAGGGCAACTGAGGGCCGAGCTTTATAGCCGAGCTCCATGCTCCTATGGCGGATGGCGATCGAGCGGTGGAGGCGTGTTCAGTGGCATCCAATGGCTCGCGTGAGGTTGCATGGGCATGGCGCAAGGAAAAGACAGGGCCATGCCCCGGGCGTGACCCCTGGCCCGCCCTGCCACCGCTGTCGGGCGCCGGTCACGTAGGCGGTTGAGGTGTGGGTGAGGAAGACGACACTGTAGACGGGTGTGCGGCTGACATGCGGGGTCCAGCGGGCAGCGGCTGCGGGCGAAGAAAAAGGGGCGCGCGGGTGAGCAGCGCGCGGGGCTGGTCGCTGGGCCACGCGCGCGCTGGGTGAAGGCGGGCGCGGTTGGCAGGCCGGTTGGGCTGGCTGGCTAACGCGGGCCGAGCTGCTGGCTGGGAGGCCTACTTCTTTTCCTTTTTCTGTTTTTCATTTCTTTTCCATTGTTTGAATTCAAATTTGGTTTAGAATTTGAATTCAAAACTGATGTAACTTATTCATTGGAGTTTAGGGAATTTTGTTTAGCTATTTTGTATAACAAAAATAGATGTGGTTTTGTTGTACAAAAATAGGGTTAGTTTTCTCCTTAAGCATTTATTCTTTTGATTTGTTTAATAATTACTTTATGGTTTATTACTTTAATGGAATTGTTAAGCATAACATAAAGCAAATGGAAATCCAAATCACAACTTGAATTAACAATGTATGCAATACTTTATTTGTTAGAATTTAAATAA